ATCAGCTGAAGTAGAGTCTTAATGAAGGAGTGACCACGAGGGGTTTCTTGGGCTGGGCTGTTTCTGGATGCCAGATTAAAGAGTTCGACGGGGACGAACTACGCTTAGAAATTGGTGTGTTTACGTACCTTTCCCTTCCAGCACGCGCCAGAGCGGAACATGATACGCTGATCTCTTACGGTGTGAGGCGAGACCCTGCAATCCTAGCTGAGCTGCTGAGAAGGGGAAAGCTTGTAGAAAAGAGGGGAAGCCTGCTTTACCCCCTGGCAGTCTGCTTTGGCTTCCTCCTCCTGGATTCTAGCACTGCCCATGGAACAAGCACCAAGTATTCTGCAGGCAGCAAGGAGAAGGGCAGTGGTAGGGCTGGGGCCCTCACCTGGGTCGACGGCCGTAGCGAGGGGATGCGTGTAACACCCACAGACCTCCCTGCCTCGGCGTGAGTTACAGTAAGGACTGCACTATCGGATCTGCACCTTCGCCATCGTGAAGCAATTTCTGCCTTTTGTAAAGGGCTCAGCACCGGGCCGAGAGTTGGTTCATTTGCTCTTTAAGCGTCGCTGCAAGGAACCGGCTCCGCCGCGGACCGTGATCCAGTTAAGTCGGTGGAGATATCCCTCCCTGATCTGAACGGGCTTTGGCCCGTTCCCTTGAGCAGCCTGTTTTACTACGGGTGGTATTGCAGGGGAGAGGTTTTTTTTCCTGAGAGAACAGAGTCAAGGAATAATCTCGTCCTTGCTACAGAACAATGAAAAGTTACTGAAGAAAATGATGCTCATAAAGCAGAACCATTCGCTGGGGCAAAATAACATGCTCAAAAATAGATCCCCTTGCGTGCTACGTAAGCAATTTTCAGGCCTCCATACGAACCTAGTAGCACATTTTTCCCTATCTGTATTCCAGATTAATGGGTTGCCTAACAAAACTTCACAGTATTTTTTTTTCCATACAACATTTCTTTCTTTTCCCTCCACTTTGACCACTGACTAAATATATTCTGCACCCATCTGCAGTCACAAGTGTTGTTCTTTGTCATTCTTCAACAGACCCTATACACTTCTTTTTTTCTTTTGGAGTAGCCACAAAGTGGTGAGGGTGAATGACCTCACATTTTTTTTCTTTTCCCTCCTTGGCTAATTGGCTCTCGCTGGGTGGATTAAACCAGCCAGTTTGGCTCTTTTACCGAACGCAGCCTTTCCTGGACTCTTTTTATCTAGATTTTAAGAGGGGAGCAGCCAGTGGGTTCTGCAGAGTGAGAGGTGGCTCCAGGTCTCAGCTCTCTCCCCGCCACATCCCCTGCCCCAGCCTCTCCGTTAGAGGCATCACAGGGAAGAGGCGAGGAGCCACCCGCCACGAAGACGTTCGGCCAAGCGGCGTGGGGAACGTGGCTCCACCGCGGTGATGCTGGTGGGACCATGGGCAGAAGAGCACCCAGAGAATAAAGGTGAGGGTTGGATGTTCAGAAGGCCAACTGTATCCTGGGCTGTATCCAGAGAAGTGTGGCCAGCAGGTCGAGGGAGGGGATTCTGCCCCTGTACTCTGCTCTGGTGAGACCCCACCTGGAGTGCTGCGTCCAGCTGTGGAGCCCTCAATATCAGAAGGATATTGACCACTTGGAGCGAGTCCAGAGGAGGCCACAAAGATGATCAGAGGGCTGGAGCACCTCTCCTATGATGAAAGGCTGCAAGAATTGGGCTTGTTCAGCCTGGAGAAGAGAAGGCTCCGGGGAGACCTTACTGCAGCCTTCCAGTACCTGAAGGGGCTACAAGGGAGCTGGGGGGGACTTTTTACAAGGGCCTGTAGTGATAGGACAAGGGGTAACGGGCTTAAATTGAAAGTGGGGAGGTTTAGATGAGATATCAGGAAGAAGTTCTTAATGGAGAGGGTGGTGAAGCACTGGAACAGGTTGCCCAGAGAAGCTGTGGATGCCCCATCCCTGGAAGTGTTCAAGGCCAGGCTGGATGAGGCTTTGAGCAACCTGGTCTAGGGGAAGGTGTCCCTGCCCATGGCAGGGGGGTTGGGACTAGATGGGCTTTAAGGTCCCTTCCAACCCAAACCGTTCTATGATTCTATGATTCTATGTTGCAGCCTGCGTGACAGCGGCCGGCCTGGGGGGACGCGTCCGCTCCCATTCCGGGCCTGCATGGGCAGACCTCCGCGTGACTTCGGTGGGAAGTGGACGGGGCTCTTCCTGCGGTGATGGATGACTGGGGCTTTGTTTGCAGCCGTGACATCCTAAGCGCTGTACAAACACCGAAGAAAGCTAAGCCCTCGGCCCAGAGAACCCACACCCTGGAAAAGCAAACAAAAAGGTAACAGAGGGAAGCACTGTGAGGAGCAGCCGAGGTGGCTGCGGAGGTGTGGGACAAAGCCCAGAGCGCCCCAGAGCGCCGGGTGTCCATCAGCATCGCCGCCCTGGGGCAGTGCTCAGCCCTCTGCACAGCACCACATCACAAACACGACTGCGCACCGCGGTGACGCAGATACAAAGAGAAATCAGGAAACTTGCATTTCCCCAGAGCTGAAGCATCGCAGCAGACCCTGCAGATGCAGCAGCAGGCTGCCCCGGGAGCCAGCACCAGAGCAGGACCCTCCGCAGCCTGCCCAGCGACTGTCAGCCATCACTGCTCATCCCGTGGAGGTCCAGCAACAGCCCTTCTTCTACTAAGTGAACTTTAGACCATTTTCGAAGAGGAGTAAGCCATAAAAAAAGGCAAGTTCATGCAAGGCAGGCTATTGTGTTATGTAGACTGAGGCCTACCCAAGTCCGTAGTGCAACCTGGTTAAACAGCACTCAATTTTTATATTGCATTTATAACACACAAATATTTGCCTTGGCGTTTTCCGTCTGTGATAATGAGCCGTTCTCAGAGCAGCTGCTTCTCCGGCCAGGCAACGCCAGCCAACGCACGCTTGCACCAGAGGGTGAGCAGCTGCAGCAGAAGTCAGCGCTGCCTGGCAAGTCGGGTTTCCATCGAAAGGAAGGGGCCAGCCTGTGCGAGAAGCGCGGCTGCAGCTGAGGACGTGAGGAGCCCGCCATGCCCGCCCACCTCTTCTCCCTGCTGCCCACCCCCTGTAAGCTGAACCCTCATGCGAAGCAACCACCCCCTCCACGTGTCCAGCGGCCTTTGCGCTGCAGAGCAGCCCCTCGCGGCACGGGGCGCGGGATGGATGGAGGTCTGGATTCCGTGGTCGCCGCACACACGGGTAACGGCAAACGCCTCCTGGAGAGCCGGCCGTACAGAGGGGACGTTGGCAGGGAGGAGCGGGAGGAGGTCGGCCTTGCAACAGGGGTTACCTTCTCATTGTGCCTACACGGGTACCTGCTACAGCAGGGTCTTGCACCGCCTGAACTCCGAGAGGCAGGTGGACGAACACGGCGAAGTGACTCAGATATGGTTCCTCTACATAGCATTAAGGCAAAAATGCCAGAGGGCATCACGCTGAGGTGGTAGTGATTTGCTACACGGCGGTTACGCACGCAACCCCTTCGCCGCCTCCACCGGTTCCTGCAGAGCGGACAAATTACATCCGCTTTTCTGAGCTTGAGGGTGCCTGGGACGACGGTAACAGGCAATGGAAACAGATCCTTAGGGCCACGGCTAATCTCTCTGCTCGACCTGCATGGCTTTTTTCCTTCTGGCAGAGCATGAAGAAAGCCCCGTGACATAAAGGATGCAGGTCAGTACCCTCGAGGTGGCCGATAGGCTTTGAATTCTACTGACTTGTGGAATGCGGTGAAGGCTTGTTTTGGTCCCATTTGTGGGACAGAAGAAATTACCTCAGGAAGATGATGCTTTACGTAAGTGGCAGGCATGTCCTAAATTGTAGATGGGTTCAGTTGTGTATGCTTTGTGTTCCTTTTGTAGCAGGTGTTGTAAGATTTTTCACACGTTCTGGGAGAAACTGCAAAGCAACGAAAAACTTCCCAGTTTCCTTCGCAGGAACTGTTTCTGCAAAGGGCATTTGGACAATTAACAACAGAGGAAATCGAGGAGTTGAGGTTAAATGCTGTAGAACTTCTGCTCTGCTGAGTGATTCCTTTGGCCCTGATCAGAGCAGGAATACTGGACCAGGAGAGCCCGTGGTAGAACACAGCATGGTTATTTTTATGCTCTTTTTTCACCCCTCTCATCATAACGACTGCATGTTTCAGGAAGTTAAAAGATAATCTATATTCTGGGCAATTTTTTTCTATATTCTATAATATTCTATATTATTTCTATATCCCATTTCCACACAAGGCAAGAAGAGCCTTTGGCGCTAAACCAGGCTGCCGGCGTACTGCGTATTTGCAAGCGCACCTTCGCCCAGGCCTCAGCTCCCACCGGAGGGAAACATTTGTGCTCTTGGGCAGTGTGAAGCAAGGAAAGGGATGGGACTGTTCTGTCGGAGGAAGCTGAGCTGATCATGCCTCAGAATGCGAAACACCATGTCCTCTGACAGGCGCCCGAGACAAAGCCCTTGGCCGCATCACCTTGCGGCTGAAGCACGAGACACGGGAGGGCTGAGCTCTGCTGCCGGCAGTTCTGCTCCATGCTCGGTGTGTGACCTCCAGCAAGTCACGAAT